TTCGGTTGAAAGCTTGTCGGAGATGCCCTACGTGGTCAGCTTTGGATGGGGATTTTACAACCATGCTGTCGATGTAGACTTCAACGGTTCGGCCAATAAGGTCGTGGAAAATAAGGTTCATAGCTCGTTCGTATGTTGCGCCAGCATTCTTTAGGCCGAACGGCATGACCACCCATTCATAGGTTCCAATTGCGCCTAGACATCTGAACGCCATCTTGTGGACATCTTCCTCGGCTATAAATATTTGGTTGTAACCAGCGTGGCCGTCCATGAAGGACAGGAGCTCGTGCTTCGCGGCTCCGTCCACCAGGAGGTCGGACATAGGCATGGGGTACTCGTCTTTGGGGGTCGCGAGTTTCAGATTTCTGTAATCGGTGCAAACCCTCAAAGCTCCAGTCTTTTTCAAAACTGGTACGATGTTAGCCAACCACTCAACATACCGAGCCATACGGATGAAGCCGGCTTTAAGGAGCCGTTCAATTTCCTCCTTAACTTTAAGTTGTACTTCGGTCGAGAACCGCCTTGGCGGCTGTTGGAAAGGTCTGAACCCCTCCTTGATCTTTAATTCGTGCTCGACCAAACTTATTGGTAATCCAGGCATCTCATGGTAATCCCAAGCAAAACAATCCTTATATTCATGGAGCATGCCGATAATCTCGGCCGTTAACTCAGAGTTCAAAAGTTAGCTTACAAAAAGTGGCCGTGGTTCGGCCTCTGTACCTACATTTATTTCTAATAAAGGGTCCTGGACCTCAGGGTAGTCATCCTCCATTTCAGCAGGCGCCGTTTCCAAGTTTTCAAAGGTCAAAACGTCCGCATCATCCGATTCGTGGAGGAACTCGATCAGGTTGATCGGTGAGTTTGAACGCAAGGATTCCTCCGCCCAATGCTCCAACAGTCTTTCCAGCAAGTCGGTCACGGCTGCTGCACCTTCTTCTTTAGTGGCCTTGCCTGTCATTTAGAGGCTAGTGAGGTCGATCAATACTTCGCGCGCCGAATCCTGTCGGACATTCTCGGCACCTAACTCCAGCACTTTCTGGGCCGTTGTCCTGGTTGGTCGGCCGCTTGCATCGTGGCCGGTGAGGACAACCCATCCAACGTCATCGTCGTAAATCCGTGCTTGCACGGCGTTGGCTTCGAAAGGTTTTTCGTCGGCCGGGTGTATGGACACCTTCTGGCCGTCCCAAAAGAACAATGGTTGGAAGAGGGAAGACGGTATGCATCCAGATTGATGGATCCAGTCACGGCCGAGTAATATATTGTAGTCCACACTGGACTAGACCATGTAGAAGGCCGCGACTCTTGTCTGGTCGGCCACAGTGCTTTTTAACGGCAATACCCCAATGGTCTTAGATTTATCACCGACGAAGCTGCTCATGACCATGTCGCTGGGAATGAGGTCCTCTTTTGACTTGTCCAGTTTCCTCATTAGGGAATAGGGAAGGATATTGACCGTCGCCCCACAGTCAACGAAGACTTTGGACACGGGTACACCCTCTACGAGAGCCGAGATGTACAACGGCTTGAGATGTCGGTATTTCTTCGGCTCGTCTCTGGGTATCACCTTGTTAAAAGCCACGGCCAACAACTCTTCCTTTTCTCTTTGGTCTTTGGTCAGACTGCTCCTCGACCACGTCATCATCTAGACCGTTGCTCTGCCCTCCTGGGGCTGAAAATTCAGACGGCAGTACCAAGACCATGCTCATGCTTACCTCTTTCGGCCCGTGCTGGTCTCCCTTATCAGCTCCCTCTTCAGCCACACAGCCGTCCTTAGCGAGGGCTTTTTCCTCAACCATCTCGAGGATCCCCTCGTATTCCTCATCGGAGACCCCTAACGTGGGGTCGTCTTCGGCCTCATGCCCAAAGAAAGGATCACCGGGGCCATCGATCATAGGCCTTGCAGCCCTAGGGATATCGCCTGTGGACACTTTGATCTCAGAGAAGTCCGAGGCCTCGACCTTCTCCTCGAGGGCTCGTCCAGCCTTAGCCAATGTATCCCTGGCTATCAAGTAGTTGTCCAATCGGCTTATCCAAACCTTTTCCTCGGCCGTCAGACCAAAGATAGTGTCGGCCGGAGTCACGGTAAAATATTGGCGGAGGTATTCTAAGTCGCCCTTGCTGAAGAGGGCCTTGGCCTCCAATCTTCCCAGGTCAGGTTGGTAACCTGGCATCCCTCTCGCTCTGGCCTCCCGGTTTGCCTGGTATACGGCCTTAATGGCCGAGTCAGACCCTCTGGTAATGAGGAGCCCCTCCGCCTTAGTGTTTTTGCGGGCCAACTCTATGATTTCATAGTTCTCAGGGGTCATGCCGTATAGATCGGTGGCCAAGTGGTCTTTGTAGAATTCTATGAGGAAGGACAAACCGTTGGCCGAGAATGGGGGGTCCCTTCCGCGGTAAACATCGATGATACTCTCGTCTGACTTCTCTAGGGCCGCGGCCTTTGGCTCAACAGAAACGGCCGCTGTTTTATGAGGGTTCTCGTACTGCCTAGGGCGCCACGTCCTTGAAGGCCTGGTGCTGGCCGTTTTCGTCGGAGAGGAGACGATTGGTACGGATGGTGGCTCGTCTGCGGTCACTATTTTCTTTTGGCGTTTGGAACCCTCGACCTGGGTCGTCTGTATTCTGGCCTGCTGAGCTTGTCTCTGCATTCACCTCAGCTGGGTTTTTGTCAGTGGTTCGGCCCTGCCCCCAGGTCGTGCATGGTACCAACGGTCATCCCGCGTGACCCGCGGTTTGAAAGTCTTGACTTGCCTATGGGCGGCCTCGTCTCCTTGGCCAACCGAGATACTGGGGGTTTGTGCCCCTAATAGATCGAAAACGGCTCTGCTGGCTGGCCGATGGGCGTACTGCCCGCCGAATTTCTTCACAGTCGATTGAGAGGGCTCATCGGCCTTCCTTTTGTTCTCCTGCAGTCTGGGCTGACCGATCTCACACTTGCATCGGTTGCAAAACACCGGCTCTGGTTCGGCCAACGACTCCTTCCCTTTCGCCGACCGGTGAGCTTCCCTATATTCGACCCGGGGCTGGGCGTTGACCATGTTGACGACAAGTGGAGGGAACGGCTTGGAGTCAACCTGCATGGCCGCCTTCTCCGGGAACTGGAGCTTCTTTTCGTCTATCAACTTCTGGATGACGTCTCGCAGGACGACACAGTTGTTGGTGTTGTGAGACCAAGAACTGTGGTACTTGCAGAACGTCTTTCCTTCGAGCTCGTCGGGTTTCGGAATTTTATGGCCGAAAGACAATTTGACCTTTTTCTCGGCCAATCGCAGGTCGAAGATAGCCTCGGCCCTTGTCAAATCAAAAGTGTAGAGCTTCGTTTCTCGAGCCGCGAATTTGGCGTCGGGAATCTTTGTGCGGCTATTGTCGGCCTTGACAAGTCCTTTGCAGACGAATGGTTTGTCTATGCTGACTTCGGCTGAGCTTACCTCGACCTCGCCGCTCTCGGCCTCCGCGGTGCCTTCTGCTTCGGCATAACCGACGATGGGATTCCTGTAGTAAGTCCCTTTCGAAGCCGTCTTCTTCTGCATTTCTTCCTTTAACAAGGATTCGTATCTGTCCACCTTGTTGATCACGTCATGCATGTCCCAGAATTCGATTCCCTGGAATTTTTTCCAGTATTCGAACTCCAGGCCTTCCTCGGCCATTTTGACAAATTCCCTTTCTGGTAGATTTGTCCGGCACCAATTCCTGCATGTTTTGAACCGCTGCAGGTAATCGCGAGGTGACTCGTCTGAAGCCTGGCTCATTCTTGCTAGCTCGGCGACCGTTATTTCTCGGTTGGTCTGATAGAAATCTTCGTGGAATATCCTTTACATGTCAGACCAATCCCGCACCGAATTCGGTGAAAGGTTTATAAACCATGAGAACGCCGCGCCGGTCAGAGAGTGAACAAATAAACGGAGCATTTGGGCGTCCGAATCGGCCTCTCCACACTGGGCCGTGAAACGGCCTATGTGTTCGATGGAGGAGGTCTGCCCATCCCCGGAGAATAGCATGAATTCTGGCAACCGATAGTTCCGGGGAAGGGGGGTTCGGTCAATCCCTGGTGGATACGGCTTTGTATACCTTGGCGCTTCCGGCCGCCTCTAAGCCAGACCGTCCTCGATCATTCGCCAGACGTCTTCAAATCGAAGCCCTTGGGGGGCCACTTCCTATTGGGCCGCAAACGGCCGCGGTTGTGTGCGGGCGTGCCAGCACAGTCTACCGTGCGTCGAGAGAGTGTTGTGTTTGGGTAAATGGTTAAGTGGTGCGCCTGTTTGAGTCGACACCTGCCATGTGTCAGATACACACAGGGTTCGGCTCGGATTCCAAAATGGAAATTGGGTCGAGTCCTGTCATATTCTCACTGTGAAAACCCTACATCCATTCTCTCCAGCCCAAAATAGTTTCTGACTTAACCATCAGAGAGGGCTCAACTGGAATCAATTCCAATTCGCTCTTGTTCAGATACTGTTCTAAGTGTGCAGGTCTTCCCTAGGAGATTACTCATCTACGGGATTAACTACGAGCCCAAGTCCCTACCATAGTCCAAGTCATACATATAAGGAGGATACGCGGTTTACAAGGTTTATCCCCCTGTTCACCCAAAAAAAAGAAGGGGATTATCATCTCTTGAATATGATATATCAAGTTAATTTGGTCTCAAACTTTATTTGTTGCTACATCAAGGATAATGATGAAATCAACCAGGGCAAACTCATCCATGTTGGAAATTCCAAAACAAAATAGGTGAAAAAAAAAACAAAACTCTGGAGAATGTAAGAGAAATAAATGTAAAATACAAATTTATTAAAAAAAAAATCAGGAAATGTCATACGCGCTTGCTCTTTCACATTAGCCATCCACAGAGCGCCAGTGCTTTCAAGAGAGGGTCTTTTGGTCATTTCACAAAGCCTATTTTTCTTGGACATACTTAATTGCCCTTATTCGGCACCACATGTCCCGACCTCATTGGTGGGAAGCAGAAAACCTTATAGCCGCGTCGTATAGGAAATCTTGAAAGCGTAAGTGAGCTTGGAGACCGTACGCTCTGTAACTTCGCGGGAAGAAACCCTAGTTTCTCTGATTGCACTTGCCTTCCAGAGAAGTAAAAGGTTTTTGCTAGGATATGAACAATAGTTCTTCTTCCAAATCGCACGGTCTAGATCAGCCTGAGTTAAGTGGGCCCACGCCAAAATCACTGCGCACCAAAATGGGCAAACCAGAAGACAGTGAAAAGAAGGTAACCTTCTTGTTTCAAATTTTTACAATTACCCATTTCCTAATTGACCAAAGCAAGAATGCCCAGATGCCCAAAACTGGTTTTGGAAATAGTTATGAACCTCAACTTCAAGACCCTGTTTTGGGATTGATTTGTTTTGCCAAGTATTGTTTCACATTGTATAATGTGTTTATGTTCTTGTTATGGAGGATGAGAGTAGATCTTTGTTAAAATTTTAAAAATAAAACTTTTTTTTTTTTTTTGAATTGTTGCCCATTATTCTAATCAGCAGAATATTGTGAAACTAGTTTTGAGCACATGCTAATACTATGAGTCCATGTTTTGAACTTGAATTGTAGTTTTTTTATTGTATTTTTTTCATGTAACTTTGTGTAGATTTTTCATAAGAAACTCAAAGATGTTGAGATTAGTGTTCCGATAGTGTATGGCAATATTTCATTCTGGCTCGGTAAGAAGGCAAACGAGTAAGTATTGTTCATTGTGCTAGGTTTATTGGCTTCTTGAGTTACTTAAATGAGAAATAGAATATCTGATTACATTTTGTGATATTTAACTAGGTACCAATCACATAAGTGGACTGTATACATCCGCGGGGCAACCAATGAGGATTTGGGAGTGGTGATAAAGCGTGCTGTTTTTCAGCTGCATTCCAGTTTCAATAATCCCACAAGGGTGATCGAGTCACCACCATTTGAGTTGTCAGAATGTGGTTGGGGCGAATTTGAAATCGCTATTACTCTTTTTTTCCACAGTGATGTTTGTGATAAGCCATTAAACTTGTGAGTTGTTTTAAATATCATCTTTATGTGACTTACTTGGTAGTTGGCTTGCCATTTTTTTATTTGACACAGTCTGTGTTCTTGGAATTTGGAGAAAGTGCTAAAATAATGCTGAAGAAAGGAGTAATACAAGTAAATCTAGTTGAATAGAAGCAACTCTGTGTTTTAATGTCCAAATTCATTATATTCATTTTCCATATGAGTTATTATCATTACCCTCCAGCAACACATCCTGGTATATCTCACCATATTGTTACCAAATGTGGCAACTAGATTTCGCTTAACCTTCTAATGTCTTTAATTGGTGGATCAGTTGTGCAAAGAACGAGTTTGATTGAACTACTTTATATTCTGTGATTGTTGGACATTTGTTCGTCTTTTTTCGTGTATAACATGTTTGGGCACATTAGAGTCCATCGAGTTTGATTTTACATTTAATTAGAACCAACCAACTTGAAACAAACAAACAACTGTTTCTTCTTTTTCTTTTTGTCATACATTTGGTACTAGCTACCCATCCGGAAGCTGAACTTGATCTTTCACTTGTTACAGATTTCATCATTTGAAGTTGTACCCAGAGGATGAGTCTGGTCCTATGTCAACTAAAAAACCTGTTGTCGTGGAATCCTATGATGAGATTGTGTTCCCCGAGCCTTCAGAGGCATTTTTAGCTCGTGTGCAGAATCAGCGAGCTTTAATTGTGCCCAGATTACCTGCTGGCTCTGTTTTGCCTCCTCCTGGTATGAATTCCTTCTGCTGTGCTGTCTGTAATTTCTCTTTATCATGTCATGCATGTAATAACTACTCCTTTTCATTGCATTTAGTGCCAGTTGAGGATCCAAGTAAGAGAAAGAGAGGTGACACCAAAGATCATCCGATGTCCCAGTGGTTCATGAATTTCTCAGAAGCAGATGAGCTGTTACAACTTGCAGCAGCTCGTCAGCAGGTAAGCATTACTTTGTCTGAAATTTCTGGATATAGATTTGCTTTGTGAGCAAGAAGAGCTGTCACGGTGTGTGTATTCTTGGCAAAACCTTTACCTGCTGGCACTGAGTGCCTAGGCTTATTGTTTTTGCATATTAAATTTTTTTGTTGAGGGACTTCCTGGGAGAGCTCTCCATTCTTACCCTTTGTGCACTCAAAAAAGAACCTTGGTTATAAGTTGAAGGCCTTTTTTTCATTATTAGAAGTAATTCACCCTTCTCATTTATATATGTATGATCAAATGCTGTCCCTCTTCTGCAGCTCTGTCTTCAGTGCAATTTTATTAGCCAGCCAGCCATGGATACAGGGTTACAATGTTTGAATCCAAGAGTGTGTTTTGTAAACCCCAGAGACCAGCCAGCCATGTACTACCACGCTAGTTTTAGACTGAACAGTGTTTGGTACTCAAATGCTAAAAAATTGATTTATGATATTGGGGCGAAAACCAGCCAAAACAAATAACAATAAATCAGCATGTGTTTTGCATTTATGGGTCGTATTGCTCTCACGAACCTTACTCTGATCAAAAGACTTAAGATCCCATAGGTCAGCAAACAACCATTAGAGTTTCACCTCTTGAATTGCCAGTCACGCTTGGTGACTGGGCCAAGTCACGTACAAGAGGCCTCTATGAATCAAAGTTCATATGAGGAAAATAGAGTGAGGGGAACCAACCTAAGCATGTGTTTTGAATCCTGAATCTTCTAAGGATTAATGAGATGCATTCCATGTTGTAGAGATATGAGAGTATTTGATGTTTTGGCAAGAGTAGTAAGTAATGTAAACTATAAGTTTGTTTACTCCCTGTCTTAGTTAAGATGCAATAATTACTTAGTGATAGAAAAAGGCTCAAGTTAACTATACTGACAGTTGGCTTTAAATGGTATATTAGGTTCAAGCTCATATTGCTAAATTTCGAAGAGAGATAAGTTTGCTAGATGGACAGCAGCAGCAACAAGTGAATTCTGTCTCCGACCAGTGAATGTACATTACCTGCAGATTTTTCGATATTTCAGTTCCAAAGTGATTTTGCAGAAGATGCTTTCAGATTGCTTTCGTACAGATGCACTCGATGACATTCAAATGTAGCAATTATATGTATTTTCCCAGCTGTGGAGAAATTTTGTCCTTTCGCATTCTTTTATTTTTCTGTTCTACACGAATTGGTGGTGTTCTTCATCACAATGCGGCTCTGTATTGATAAACAATTTAAAGGAAGAAAGTATAAGGTGGTGTATCTTCACTATAATTTTTTACCATCACAAGATAAAAAAAATTTGGTTTACTTAGATACCGATTATTTATTGTCCAACTTATTTATCTTGATTTTCTGAAATTACAGATGATGAGAACAGTGGTTTGAAATTTAGGGTGTTTGATTTTCGATAGACCTAAATGTATCAAACAACTTCTGCAATAAGAATGTCATTGGTATGGCTGATGCATTCAGTCATTAAATATCATACCGGATCAATTTGCTCTTTCAATTGTTAGGTTTTCTGTGCAGATGATTATGTAAGTCAGCTTCAGATGGTTCTGCAGGTAAGTCAGATTCACGGTTTCGCTGCTGCTTTTCTATAGTGAATGAGTAAGATGCATTAAATCTTGACTTGGTGTGAATTGTTCTTGTACTAGATTATACTCTCAGTAGTAGACGTTTTACTATAAACAATTTCATTTTTTTCCACGCTACCTCAATTGCATCAACATTCAATTGTTCATCAAGTTTTGCTTATATCTGGACCCTGCATATTTTGGTAGGGTTCTTGAAAATAACCCATTGTCATCTGTCATTGTAACAGCCCAGGTTGCACCAGCATGTTGAGTCCCACGTCAGTAAACTACTGGGCCGATCTGGGCTTTATAAGCGATTGCAGGGAGCCGAGGTGGTGTGTGCTTCCATGGGTTGTGATATCCATTCTTTGTTTTGCAAATTTCATTCAGATATGAGCCTATCCTTCACTCTCAGAAACCCTTTCAAAGTTTGCTGAGGTGGGTCCATACGAATAATTTCTCTTCTCCATAATTGCACAACTGAATCTAGGCTTCTTATAGTGTAGGTTATAGCCTAATGATTGTTGTTTACCCATTTGCCCTTTTTTTTAACACTGTTTTAAGTAAATGCCAATTTGTTGCAGAAAGAGCACACCTCATTGATCATCTTTATGTCATATTTAGTGTCATTTCTTCCCTTACAGGCCACATGGGTTTTACATTTTGATGGCATCACCATCAGTTACTTGATCTTCTGGTCCTATCCATCCTCTGGGAGAATGCATATGGATATGGATAACACCATCTTTCATAAATATTCATTGACTAATCATGTTTCCATGTATTTTCTTAGTGTGCTTTTGATATATTTAATACTTCTTATGAACAACCCATGAGACCATGCATTCTTACATCATCATCATCATCATCATCATCAAACTCCATTATGCAGCAGCTTCAGGTTCCATTGGCAAAGCATTTGCTTACAACCCACATGGGCAAGAATGCTTTTGTTTATTCATTTAGTTCGTCTTGTTTTATCCATGCCTATAGAATATAGATAAATAAATGGCAGCTCTTGGTTAATTTTTTAACATGATCTCATTTCTTACCAAGTTTTCAGCAAGAGAGCCAGTGGAAAGGACAATTGCTCAGAAAATGTATTCTTTTTTTCTTTTCTTTTCTTTTTTTTTCTTTTTTTGGCTTTTTACACAAAAAACCAGGGCACTCAAAAGATATTCCAACTTCCAAAGTATGAGAAAAAATTTCATGTCAGAGGATAGCACGATTTTGTCATCCCCAACCAATCATGTTCCGCCACTCGTGATAAGAATTTCACATGGCGGAATGTAATTGAATGAGGATAGCAAAATAGTGTTATCTCTTTGACATACAATTACAGTTGATGAAGTAATCTTTTTGGGTAAGGTAGGTAATTAAAAGAGAACCGTTCGAAGTGGTTGGAAATGATCTCACAGGTCCTTACATTGTTGTCTTTTACAGGAGTTTTGGGGCAAGAGTAACATGGCCTTCATGTGCCAAGCCAAGGCAGAGTCACAATCACAGAAGAAAATAACCCCCCAGGTCTATTTGGCTTTGCGGGGCACCGCATTTTGGGTGATGACTAGGGTGGTTGGTGGGCCTTTTGTAGTCCCTCTACTGTTCTTTATATTCTTTTTCCCCCCAATCAATCTCATTCACAGAACATGGGAAGGCTTGTTCAAATGACGGTGACATGTAGGTAATTCATACCTGTATATGTTCATGTATTTGGGGCTGTCTATGGCAACAGATTTAACTTCAACCTGGCCCCATAGTTGGTGACTTTCTACCTGCTAATTTTTAATTGGTAATGTTGTTATCTACCTCCTCCTGACTGAGTGAGGTTTTGGTTTTGGTAAGGTTGACTTGGCTAAAAATGAAGGGCGTGTTTAGCAAAACGAAGCTCAAGTTTGGGTTGTTTCTTAAACCAGCTTGGCTTGGCTTGTTTCTATTACGAGTCAAACGAGCCAATTCGAGTAAAACTCAAAACGAACTCGAGCTTTGTCGACCCAATTTAGGAGTGTTTTTAGTAAGACTAAAATTGTTTTCAAGGTAACTAAAAGTGTGGCGAGCTCACTTAACAACAACGTTTAGCTAAAAATTAAGGGTTAGTAACACCATAGGTAACAACTAAGGACCTGTTTGGGTGTGTTTTTGGCTAAGAATGAAATTTTGCCAATTGCTCTTTGCGAGTGCTTTTGGTGATGCATATTTTACAATGCTAACATTTCTAAGGGCATGTTTGGCATTGCAGTTGAAAGGGCTAAAATTGTTTTTTTACAACTAAAAGCATTTTTTTAAAGCGTTAGCGATTGAAAGAAAATTTTATAAGTGCTTTGGGTTTGGCATTGCAGTTGAAAGGGCTAAAATTGTTTTTTGACAACTAAAAGCATTTTTTTAAAGCGTTAGCGTTTGAAAGAAAATTTTATAAGTGCTTTGGATAAAAAAAAAAAACACTTAATGATGTTAGTGCTTCTTTAGGTATCACTTCCAAGTGCTTTTTCATGAAACACTTGGATTTTTAATAAAAAATTATGAGTAAAATTGCTTTCTACATAAGCAGTCCCAAACGAATCCTAAAGATCTAAAAGTGTTATCTACAAAGTTTGGCAGAAATAGAGAAAAGTGTTTTTGGGATGTTAAGGACCCACTTGGTATCCTACTTGGATCCAATTTTATAAACTCAAAAACGAATTTTAAGTCCAAAGTCACAAAACCAGTTTGGTAGACCCATTTTTAAAAACTCAAAAACACCCCCATTATTGAAAACGAAAAAGTTAGGTTTTACAGTTTTTTTTTTGTTTTTTTATATGCCCTCCCTCTCTCTCTCTCTCTCTCCCTAAAGCTCGACCCAACCTGGACCTGCTCCCTGTAGGGGATTTTTCGTTCCGGCAGCTACAGATGGGCCTGGGCTGCTGTAAAGAGCAAATAGGTGGATCTGCCCCAGTGTCTAAGTTCAAGAATCAGGCCCCAAGAGTGCTTTGAAAGGTTCGTGGAGCCTTAAGAAACACCTTGGCTTCCTTCACCAACAAAACCAACAGTTGCTTACAAATAAATATTTAGGCTTGGCATGAGAAGCTTGTGGCATAGGAGTTGAGCATTCATGAGTTTAGCATGAGAGAGAGAAGGCTTGGGTTTCCTATGAGAAACAGAGGCTCGAAGTAAGGGGGTGACGGAATTTTGAGATGATTTGTTGAGGGAAGAGAGGAAAGAATGAAAGAAGAGGAATGGGTGGCTTGAGCAAGTTTCCAGTAGCTTAACAAAAGTTTATTCAGGCTCTTGAGTGGCTTGACAGAATAAATAAAAAGGGAAGCAATGGAAGAACATGGCTTGAAATCGAAGGGTTCCAGAGGTGAGAGGTGATGCTTTCTCTCTCTGGATGTGTTTATGGGAAAGAGAGGAAGAAGATGGAAGTAAGGATGGCTTTAGCAGATTTCCAGCAGTTTGACGAAAGCTTCGTCAAGCTCTGGAATGGCTTGCCATAAGAGAAAATAGGAAGAGATGGAGGAATAGGGCTCGAAATTGAAGGGTTCCAAGGATGAGAAGTGATGCTTGCTCTTTCTGGATGTGGTTGCTTGCCTTCGATGAGTTGTTTTGCTGGGTAGAAGGTGCCTCCTTTTATAAGCGCTGGAAGCTCCTTCTTCCTAAGAAACCCTAATTGGTTCTCTCCAATTTTGCCAGGTCTTCTCTTCCTTCGATTCAACCTCTTTTTATGAAATCTCCCCTAATCCAAATACACAGAGACAAGATTTTTGGAAGCTCTAGAGTCTTCCCACAACTGTCTCTGCAACCATCTCCTATTTTGGGCTATCCTTTCTCTTTCTTTTCTCCTTCATTTTATTGCAAGAGCTGGTGGGAGAAATGAGTGGGTAATGGCACTGGTCTAAAGGGTGTTTTGCTCAAGTATCCTTCGATTTTTTGGATGGCTTGTGTTGAGATTTGTCTTTGGCCATGTGTTGGAGATTCCCAGCAACCTGCGCAAGTCTCTATCCCTTGGTTTTCTGTCGTGGTTTTGTCTCTAGCCATGTGCTAGAGACTTTCAGATTTTTCTAAGTCACTTGGGCCATTCCCTAAGGTAATGGGCTAGTTTACTAAGGGGATGAGTCAACCTTCTAGAGTGATGGACTATTTTTTTACTAAGGTGATTGTGCTAGAGACTTTCAGATTTTTCTAAGTCACTTGGGCCATTCCCTAAGGTAATGGGCTAGTTTACTAAGGGGATGAGTCAACCTTCTAGAGTGATGGACTATTTTTTTACTAAGGTGATGGGCCAATTTTCTGAGGTAATAGTCTACCTTTTTCTCTCTTTCGTGCTTACCCACATATTTGGGCTCAAGAAATTGGCTCAAGTTTTGGGGCTCCCAAGCAGCCCAAAACTTCTACTTCTTGGCCCATCAATGGGCCTCGTGAATGCTTGTAACCATCCATACCACAACCCGCTTAGCAAGCCCCAGGCATTCGCGTGGCTTGGACCCACTAAAGCTTGTAGCGTGGTGTGTTGCTTATTTGCTTGGTGTGGCACGTGTGCAAGCACATATGATGAACTCTTGCTTACCCAAGTCAAGTTTCTTCCCAAGTTAGGTGTCGTACTGGGCTAGAAATATATTTGGGCCCAGCCTTAATTTTTTTGGGCCTCAACACTCCCAAATCTCGTCGTC